GCTCCACACCTACAAAGTAAAGGAGGGGGCATGTTAATCTGGTGAATCTCTGCAAGTTTCACTCTTAATGGTCAGAAAATTTGGCTTATTGGTGCAGATGACTTTTACTTGTGCATCCTGCCCACAGATGCACAAAACAAACTTTTCTCACTCTTGGTCCCTGATCAAAATGTGTTAGTCCTTTCTAACATATTCCTTGAACCTGAATTTTTGTAACGGTACCACAGTTTAAAACTTCCTGAAGGCATGGTAGTTTCATATAAAATATAATGAACAAAGTAAGGCCGATTCATACCAACACTCAATACTTGGGCAAACCCCCTGAAAAAAACCCTCCCCACACACAAAACCCAGAAAATTCACTGATCAGTCCTACAGTGTTAGGAATTAACATGTTGACAGAGTAGATCACTTAAACTGGCTTCTTCCAGCTCATAGATTTTTTTTTTCCTGAGTGGTTGAAGAGAAGAGATTCAGAGCAGCCCTGTAAAGGACTTTGGGGTGTTGGTTGATGAGAAAATGAACATGAGCTGGCAGTGTGTGCTTGCAGCCCAGAAAGCCAACCACATCCTGGGCTGCATCAAAAGGAGCGTGACCAGCAGGTCGAAGGGGGTGCTCCTGCCCCTCTACTCTGCTCTTGTGAGACCTCACCTGGAGTATTGTGTGCAGTTCTGGTGTCCTCAACATAAAAAGGACATGGAACTGTTGGAACAAGTCCAGAGAAGGGCCCTGAGGATGATCAGGGGACAGGAGCACCTCCCATATGAAGATAGGCTGAGAAAGTTGGGGCTGTTCAGCCTGGAGAAGAGAAGGCTGCGTGGAGACCTCATAGCAGCTTCCAGTACCTGAAGGGGGCCTATAGGGATGCTGGGGAGGGACTCGTCATTAGGGACTGTCATGATAGGACAAGGGGTAACGGGTTCAAACTTAAACAGGGGAAGTTTAGGTTGGATATAAGGAGGAAGTTCTTTACTGTAAGGGCGGTGAGGCACTGGCATGGGGTGCCCAGGGAAGTTGCGAATGCTCCATCCATGGTGGTGTTCAAGGCCAGGCTGGACAGAGCCTTGGGTGGCATGGTTTAGTGGGAGGTGTCCCTGACCATGGCAGGGGGTTGGAACTAGATGATCTTAAGGTCCTTTCCAACCCTAACTATTCTATGATTTTATGAGTCTCTTCCAAAGACTCACTAAATGCACCTTCACTAGGCATTTGTTAAGGAACACATCTGCCTTTCAAAGAACATTTAAATTCTTGGGAAGATTTCATGGATGTACCTTGCCCCCACCATACTACTATTTCAAAAGTATCCAACCACCTGTCTGTGGGACAGATGCATATGATTACAGCACTTCAGTTCTTTCTTTTTCCCTTTCTCATCAATAACTTCATCCAAGCACCTCCTCCCAAGAGGTCAGCAAAGTCTCCTTTACACGTTGGTTATATAGGTGCTCTACTGTAAAACAGATGCAGGAATCACAGAAAACACAAAAACCTGGAAAAAAGTTTGATACTCATGTTGTAAGGACCAACATGAACCCTGCATGGCTCAAGAGCTCATGGCAAGCTGGAGAGGGTGGTTCTTTCGTAGCAGCTCACAGCACTGGCACGAATGATACTTGAACTTCCTTTTAAAATACATTGTTATTTTAAAATATACTTTAGAAAGGCTATTAAAGAAGCAGCACTGAGGGCCAAAAACGTATGGCTGTGTAGAGAGGGCCTTAATAAATCTAATCCTGTTAGATTTCCAAAGGCAAATTTAGAGATGATAGGTTTTATCACTCAGAAAGAGTCTGCCATTTACAAAAGAACCAGCAACTTGCAATCTATCTCAGTTAAACAGTTTGTAAAGAGAAATCACACATACTGGCAACCACTGAAAGAAAATTCTGAAGGGAAAGAGTATCCTCCACCTCCAAACTCTTTTAATAGGGACAAGATGTTTTTCTGAAGCCTAAATACCACATAAACACAAGGATCTGTGTTCAATACAGAAATAACTGGACAATATGCTATACTACAAGAAGGAGACAAGACAGCCTGATTTCTTATATTACGTGCTTAGTTCCCATTTGTCTTTGTTAAAGAAGATAGGGTTAATGTCACTGGCATAAGTGACTACTCACCTGCCTGCTGCATTCAGCTCATGTAGAGTACTTTTAAAGACATGATTTTGTGGAATGTTTTAGTCCGATAAAACAAATGAGAAAAGGACTAAACTCACAAACCAAGTGAAAAAGGCAGGATAAAGCCCAGTGGTTAGAGAAGACCTAAGAGGGAAACTTCAACAGTACCATTTTACTTATCAGTATATTCAGAGACTCCAGTGACATAGAAAATCCTTAGCTAGTCAGGCAGAGTATTTTAATGCTTACCTTCCTATAAATGTCAATAGATCAATCCATTCTTTAAAATGATCTAGCATTAAATAGTAAAGCAGCTACACAAACTGAAGAATTATCATGGCCTAAGGACACCAAACAAATGGACAAAATGGCCACACGTAATTGTATTAATCCATCTTCATTTTGCCTGTTTCTCCTGATTTTTGTTACTTCTTATTGGTTCTGACTAAACTGCCTGCTCAGTTTTCAAAACATCACTGTGGTCTCAGTCATGTTCCCATGGCTCCCCCCTCCCCTGGCCCCAAGAAACCTTTGGAGATCCCAAAGTGAAGGCGACCACCCAGTTTGGCATGGTGCAGAACAACAGGGGAGGTCTTCTCAAAAGAGACCCAGTGCTAGCCAAGGGGCTGCAGGTTAGACCAAATATTACTGGCACTGCTACTTCTAGAAGCTTATTCAATGTCCGTCACTGGGCATGGCGCTGGTGTCCAGCTAGACTGTTTTATGGGGGTTTATTCCTAATTTCTTTTAAGCCTTTGCCAGTCCTCACATTATGCTTGAGTTGCTTCTAATCAACAAATACTGAAAATGTGCACAATTAAAACCCATGTCAGAGAGGAAATGGGAGTGTTTTGACAACATTCACCTTTACATCAGCAGGCACAGCTTAGACCAAATAACCACTAAGAACTGAGGGTGAATCCTATTTCAAGTCTTAACCATTTTTCTAATACAGATTTATGACCAGGAGAGAAGGTGACAGCCAAGGGCAACAGAAACCCTTTACTGGTTTTGGTGTGACTCTGTTTCTGTAGAGCTGTATCACAGTAGAGTCAGGACCCCACAAACTCCTTTCTGTGCTGTGAGCTGCTTGTAAGATCATCTGTAAAATGAGGCTAATACACATTTCAAAATAAAAAGAAAGCTTACAAATATCAAGTCTAGTTCAGATTAGGAAAGCCTTTTTATAGTTACTTTGGAATTCAGTTGTTTCCATCTATGGCTTAGCTATGAGTTACTTCATCCCCCATATTGTTCCACTGGTTGCAGCTGTGATAGGAATGGGAGTTTTAATGACATAAAGACTTAGCAGAGAGAAGGATGGCAGATGAAAATGGTATTTGTGAGTTACATTCACCAGTCCTTACGAATCAGTAAAATACTGCTGTCTTAGAGATTTCAACAGTTCCAGAAAATATCTAGTTAAAGTCTAGGAAAATCCCTTCAACAGTCATACTCACACTATGGTTCTATATCCATTTTCCTCAGAGGGCTATATTTTGGGCCTAACTTAATCAGCTGTGATATTTAAACAAAAGACACTGGGGTAAAGCTGAGAGTTTTTTCACAGTGCCTATCTGCTAAGTGAACAAAAGAAAACTCAAGTTAAAATCAATGATGCTTCCTACTGTCCTGAAAGTTACCATGCAGGCAATAAACTACTCTGTAAAATGGTACTAAAACATCAACTGAATGTGGGGCTCTGATGGCTTTCAATCTTTGTCATATATATCACACATCTTTGGAGGTAACAAAGCAGAACTAAGGTCCTGAAATACAGCATTAAAAATGCCCCTGTCCTCTGCAGATACCATCCTTGGAGACAAAGACAAGAAGTGAATCTGGAGTTGACATTAAGCTAATTATACTCAAGGCTGCATCTAACTCACAACCCACTTTACATGTACTGGAGATTGCTGGTGGGGACTGGAAAGTAAGAGGGGGTTTTTATTGAAAATCTTAAGACAAAGAGGTGGAGACAGAATGCAAGGAACACTATGTTGGAAGTGTATGACATGGGTGCATATGTATCAAGTAACTGTTTAACATTAGTCTGTAACTCCTAGGGACAGGCTGGTGAGACCCAGTGCAGTGCTACAGAAGTCAGTATAGCAATGACCATTTGCATAAACTAAAGATATATTGTCTCAAAGGAAAAAGGCAGAGGTTGTGGCACGTGCAGAGGTTTGATCCTCTCCCATACCCAGGAAATCAAGCCTGTTTTGCCCTCTTTTTACACTGGACAGAGTCAAAAAGTAAGTTTAATGGAAGCTGAAACATAAGACGGTATCACTAGTACTTCCTATGGCATGTAAAGAGCCTTTCAACTAACAACAAAGCCAGGAATTTTCTTAGACTACAAATTTTCAGTTAGTAGATGGCCTTTTTGTCCTTTTTCTATAGACTGTAGGTGCAACAGAGGTTGCATTTCTGCTTCTACTTGCTACAGCAGTATGTTTAGCACCTGACATGAAGAGGCAGTGAGCACCACCTGAAACACAGGAGGGTCTATCTGATCACAAAGAAACACTTTTTTCACTTTGAGAATGACTGAGCACTGGCACAGATTGCCTGAGAAGTTGTGGAGTCTCCTTCCACAAGTGTCTTGACTGACACTTTCTTCCATCAGCCGTGCATTTCCTCTTGTTGTGGTGCATCAGGTGCACTTGACTTGGAGGGCTGCTTCACACAGTTGAATTCCTCATGCTTTTTGCATGCACTTGATGAAGAAATAGCAGGGCTGGAGGACTATCAGGATGCCTAAACCCTGACCCGTGTGGTTCTCTTCACTTGCTAAGGTTAGTGATGCAGGAGAAAAAAAGAGTGAAACCCTTCAGAAATGGACTGCAAAATAACACTAACATTCCAAATAAAGCAGAATTCTGTTTTTCACCTGCCTGTTTCTAGCCACAGAACAGATCTGGGTGCAGGATGTACTCTGCTTTTTTTTATCTGATCTGCCAAGCCGGCGTTTCATTTGTGGATGAAGCACTTTATGTAAAGATAGTGCTGGGCCATGAACAGCCAGCACTCGTTTCTGTTCTGAGTTGAAAATGAGCAGTCTGCTGGAAATTTCAAATCAGGAGGCACGCAGAATATGTAAGATTTGATGGAATGAAAGAGCACAAACATGCAATATAAACAAGTTTCATACAAGCATACGTATTCTGATATGAAATCGTGAGATGTAACTGTCACTTAGTATGTCTTACAAAAACCACCCTGCAGTGAAAAGCTTGGTGGAACTGTTTAGCAAGCAGATTAGGGTGGCTACCTTTCTTTTCACTCAACCGCACTTCAGATCATTATGTAAATATCTAAAAATGCCACAGCAGAAGTCACGTCACTTACTGCCAAATGCATAGTGAACACTGAAAGAACCATGTCTTCCTTTTCAAACCGAAATAAACTCTTTAGTATGTGCCTCTCCTGCTGAGATGACTTTTGGAATTTTATATAGACAGTAGGGTGAATTCCAGCGTATTTGTCGTATGTAATTATGGCTTTTCCCTGGAACTGAACCGAAGAAGAACTGATTATTATTTCAACATCAACCATCTTGACAATTACAAATATTTGTTTCATTGGGGAAGTGGATGCATCATGTCCTATTTATACATAGCTTCACACTACTGGAAATACAAGCTGTTCGCATTCTCTGTAGGTTTCTTGTTTACTCCTCCTGTATGAACATTTTACTAATTAAAAAAGAGAAGACTCCCAGATGTAATGTACATTTGTACATTAATCACAAGTAAAGTCAGGGAGTGTGGCTACTAGTTTCTCAACTGTGAAACCACTGCAGTGAAGTTTCCGTGACTTCAGTAATAATTATGTTCCTGGAAAATTGAGAAATACTTATAGTGTCTTCCTGAACTAAGGCATGAAAATGGAAAAATTAAGTCACTCAAAGAACTTTTGCTCTAGCTAGGAGAAGTAATATTAAAATTCCAAGTGAGAAAAAAAAGGGTCCTTACCATTATTATCTGAAATTGCAAACAAAATGTATGTTGTTCTAAAAAGCACTGCATTCATGTTATATATAAAGGCAAGGATAAATTTCTTAAGCACTTAAGAAATACATTCCCATTAGGTTACAATATATTTTCCTAGCTTTTTATAATGTTTGGCTAGAGAATAATGAAAGCTTCCCATAATGCGTGTGTCTTATCATAATGGCACTGCACAAGACAGCTGCCATTTGTGTTTCATGTTTGCCTGTATGAAAACACTCACGTTACGTGAGTTATCCTTTTAACTTAATCAGTGGAAATTTTGTTTTCCAACTTCTGAACGTTTTGCTAGCTGAACTTTGGCTTGCCCAAATTCACCTTATTTATGAAGCAATACACAGCGTACAAACCTTTGTATTGATGGAAGATCAGATTGCCCTTCTCAGCCATATTCCTCTTTAGCAACAGGCACACACAGCTTACCCAAATCTAGTGCAGAGCTGAATTTTAAGCATATTTCATCTTTGGGGAAGGTGAAAAAAGTAAGACTTACTTTAAGAAGTTTTCATTTTGCAGCAGTCATGCATGGACTGTAACTCAAGCTCTTGTAGAATTGCTGCATTCTGGTTTCTTACTCCAGCTCCCTCCTCACGGATCTCCTAGGCTGGTATAGACAAAGAAAACCAGGCCATTTGTAATTAACTTTGATCTTTCAGATTATTTGAATGTTCTTTAGAACTGTGAAATACAGTGGATTACAGTTAGAGTTTTGCTATGGCAAAGGCAAGTCTGTATTTGTCAATTGAGCGACAAAAAGAAAGCTAACATGCTCCATTCAGGTAAAACCAAGTCATGCAATACAGGATGCTTTTAGTATACCAATGTAACAATTATTTGTAAGTACTGAGTGAAAAGGAAATAACAGAGTATTTATGTATTCAGCTGTGAATACTACACAGACTTTTAGTATTTCTAATAGATGCAATATTTTACTTCTAACGTGTAATACTGAACAGCTTTACTTACTATGTATAAAACAATATTCAGGATTGATAAAATTTCTTTTCTTTCAAAAGATCCCTTTGAGGCAACTTTAATGAGACACTTGTTGGTGCTATCATGTGGAAGTATTCCCAAAATACACACAACATGCAAAAAACCAAAACAGGATATTTTAAATTCTGTTTAGCAGTTAAACGATTTAAACTCAGAATATCTGTCTTGAGCTGCTTTGTCCAACCCTCCTCCCTTTCCCTGCCTGCTTCATCACACCATTTGGTAGACAAACAAAGAGAACATCCACCATCAAATGTGTGATACTTCAGGCACATCACAGATGAATCATGAACTCTACACCAGTTTCAGTCTCCACACTAATGCACGCTACATCCTATACCTCTTTATCCAATTTTTACCTCTTCTTTTATACTAGGGCTCCATCAGATCTGAGCTAGGGAATGGGAAAATTGGCTGGATTTGCTTCACCTTACCCACCCACACAGACAAGCTGGACAATCCATATGCATACTGCTACATACGGTGTAAGATAAGCAGCTACGCTTAAGGCCTGTGAATCTAGCATTTTGCTGTCTTTCATCAGATCAAGAGAAAAGGTCACAGCCAGATCTAGTTAGAACTTGAATTTCAGTTTTTTCATGCTGCCCACAGGTATAAGAGAACTGGATGGATTCTGTGTATTTTTTTTACCATTTTTTTAAATTTGTTTTTATCTCAAAATTCATTGTTAGGGGAGGAGAAGGAATATTCAAAATTATTCAGCTCAATTAAACAACTGAATATATGAAGTCACATGAAGCTACTCTTACCAGTTGCCAAAAGAAATCACTGGCCAAAATGGTCACCAAAATCAACACAGTCTTGTTACAAATTAATTTAACTTCACAAATTTCTGGGGAATGAATCATAGAATCTCAGGCTGGCTTGGGTTGGCAAGTACTGTAAAGCTCATGAAGGGGACGCCTTCCACTAGTCAAGGTTGCTCCAAGCCCTGTGCAAACTGGCCTTGAACACTGCCAGGGATGGGGCAGCCACATCTTCTCTGGGCAACCCATTCCAGTGCCTCACCACCCTCACAGGGAAGAAATTCTTCCCTATTTCTAACCTGAATCTCCCCTGTTTAAGTTTTAACCCATTACCCCTTGTCCTATGATGAAGAGAACCCAGAGGCAAAGCCCAGTTAAATATCTGTTATCACAGAATGAGACTTATGCCAAACAAGTGGAAATCTCTATTCAAGATAGAAGTATTTAGAGTACCTCCACAGTGACATCCAGTGTCTAACTTCTTGCCATTGAGTTGGCACCAGTACTGAACTCTGCTGAAGTCCTTATAGTGTGCGTTCAACATTCAGGTATACTTCACACCGGCCTGGGGGATCATCTGACCTCCTTCTGCCTCTGCACTTACTAAAATACAGGTTAAAGAAGTTAAATAAAAAAGGTATGCCAGGAAGAGTGGGACTGTTGCTCTCAGACTGGCTGTTTTAGAGGTTTCTGCCCTTCTGTGGTTACTCAAAGATAGCATTACAATGGGTGGCTGAGAGGGAAATGGTTTGGTTTAGTTGACCTCAAGTTTAAACCCAGGAATTCATCAGGGCTTTATTATCTTTGGACCAGGCAGAGGGGCATACAACATATATTGTCAATGGGAATAAAACAGTTTGGTGAGAAATTTAAAATCAGCCCGAACTGCCAAAAGAGCATCAATACACCAGAGCTGAGGAAATGGAGTAGGGGGGAAATAGGAGCGGGTCCAGGGACACGGAGTGATCTGTTATTCTAATTGTTCTGTTTATTATTCTGTAAACACTCCATCAAATGTTCTCCATGGTTATCAAGCATATGTTTTGAATGCATTATGTGAAACAATTAGAAGCACGTGCTTCTTTTTCTGTTCACAGAAAAATGCCAATATTAATCTTATTCTTGCAGCCTTGCCAGAGCTCTTCTTTGGATAAACACTCCCCATACAGCTGTATTGGACCCCAATCCATTTAACCTCTTGCTATTAAGTTCCCCTTTGCTTTTGCAGGTTGTAAGACTGGCACTTCTGTTCCTTCAATAATGACCTGGTATAGAAAACACACAGTCTTCCAGAGAACCACGATCATATCATAGCTTGCTCCAAGTACAAATATGTCAGCCACTTTTTTTTCCCCCAAGATTTTGAAATTTGTTGTTGCTGGTAATGAACATGGTAAAAAGAAGTGTTCACAGTTTTCATAGAGGAGATGAAGTCCTGCTTCTCTTTGCCGGTATCAAACCGAGTGATTTAGGGGAGAAAATGTCGAAGTAGATTTAAACTATTCTCCTTGCTTCTGTAACAGCCAGTCTTTTGCCAGTCTACTGGCAATATTTATATTATCAAACAAATATCTCAATAGTATAATCATTAATGTAGTAAATATTTAGGTAAATGTATTAAATAAATACTTAGATTATTAAATAAATGTGAGAATATATTACCCATAGGTCAGCAACAAAAACACTTCTCAATATAAAAAAAAGAGTGGTAAAAGCACAATCCAAAGGCAAATCTGAAGCAGTATTCTGAACTTTGAGGTCCTTACCTTTGTCATGAATTTTCTACAAACAATGCCTTTGCACAAAAAGAAAAATAAATAATAAATACTGTGCTAATATGTGTATTATTTAAAGTGCAACAGTTTTGGTAATGCAACGTTAGAAAATATTAATGAACTTTTTGTTTCTAAATTAGTTCCTCCAAAGCGTATTTTTACTGAAGAGTGTGATGTTTCTGGTTTCAGAATTGTTGGAGGAGTTCAGTGACGTGGTCAATCCTACTTTTATGATTATACCAAACAAGGATTGTTAACAAAACTCAAAGGTAAATATCATTTTTGAAATAATACTGATTTTGGTATTAGTTTCCTTTTCCCTTTAACTTTTACACAATATTTTTTTTTTAGTATAGTTTGGCAAACCTTCAGTAAAATCTACTCTACTTAAGACTATGCCTTAAAGAAATCATCAAGAATTATGGGGAAATAAACTTCTTGAATGAAGAAATAGGTTATGATATTGAAGCAGGACAACAGCAGATGTCCCAGTTTTTGAGACAACAGGAGATGATTTAAAAATTCATCTCTTCCACACATGATACAGTGACAGACCAAGAAAGGTTTGACACAAAGAGGACACAAGGAAGAATCCCTTCAACCAACAGCATGCATATCCATATAATTCATTTATTTATTTTTCCCTCCTTTCTTTTGTGAGGACATAAAACTCCACTACAACGACCACACTGGATGGAAGCTAACCCAGGTACATGCATGGGAGCCCAGCTGATGCTTTTATACAAGGCTCTGGCAGCCTGGTCCTGGTCTCTCTTCCAGGCATTTGCACACATCGCATTCCCAGCAGTGCTTGAGGTTCTCACCTTAATATGGTGACTTTACAACCCAGCGTGAAAACAAACACCATAAAATCAAATAAACTGATTTGCAGTATTCATTAGTAGGGAAAACAGTTACAGAGGAAATGAAATATATGGTTTCTAGGGTTTTGCTGGCATTTCTCCATGTTAAATGCTCATTCCAACACTGATATGGGAAACAGTTTACTGACACCTACACTGTATGATCCACATAACTCAACTAATAGCTATTCTGTTTGCAGAAGTAATCCTAAATAGACAAAAACATTTAAATTTTTTGCACTGAAGACAATGTCACTGTTAAATACAAGCTTTTATTTCAGATGGAACTATTCTATGATTCCATGTATCCTGCAGCATTTTGCAGGACAACACTATATGGTATTACAAGGAACCGTATTTTTCCTTTAATTCACATTGTACTTTACACTGATGTCAACATCACAAAGTTGCCTCTTCTAAGACAAAAGGTCATTTCCCTGGTACACTGACCACTGACTGAATAAACTCTCTGCATATCCTCTCACATCACTATACTGAAATTCTGCTTCTTTAGATCAGTCAAACCCATATGAAAACATACTGGTGACAGGATTTGTTTCTAAAAAGGTCCAGAAAGGGTACTGCAATTGCAGGGCTCATCCTCCACTGGCAAACACTTAACTATCCACACTACCGATGTCAAAACTCATCTCAACAGAAGAAAAGTTTGCACACACTGGTCTGAATACTTCTGTGGGCACTAATCTGGAGCTTTTGCTTCAAGAATTATCAGAGATTTTTTACCATTTAGTTTGTCACAATGCAATAATAAAGACAGACCAAGAGATCAGGTAATTAGAGCATTATAGTGATAAAAGCACTACAGATAATTTACTATTCCCCACTTCTGACACCATATCACTTGTTTACAATAAAGGAAAAAGGAGCAAAAGTAAAAATTGCCCTTGCCACCTAGTGGCAGTGAGCTTAACACAAGCAGCTACATCAGCCGGTATGACCTACTCACAGAAAAGCAGTGAAAAGGGCATCCAAATGCAGTATAAACTATCTGCTAACCCACCATTTCTCTGAAGTCTTAAAAGAAAGCCTTACCAACTTTTCTGGTTTTTGTTGTTTGTCGTTGTTGCAGAGAGAATGGAACCCATGACAACACTGAATTGTGAATATGCCAGCCATGCAGTAGAATATTGTGGAAGCTGCCCAATATATCATACACAACGCACTGCAAGAGTTAACCCTGATGTTAAGCAGAAGAGCATTCCAGTTTGTGCAGCCTCTGATTTTGTAACGGTACAGCCCTCCAAGCATGACTACACCTTTACCTTCAACATGACTGCTGAATGCAGGCTGATCAATGTCCATCTGCATACTGCAAACTGCCTCTGAAAAGAAATTAGATGATTAAGCCAATATTTACACACATAACAGAAAGAGATCATTATACATATTGCTCAGTTCATTCTGCAGGCAGATGTTTGAAATAAGTTCAGTGCATGGTCCAAAAAATAGAGACTATGTCAGATACTCATGATTCAGGTTAATGATGTAGTTACAAGGAGGAGAAATATCCTATTAAGTTGTTCAGAAAGTTGTTTTGAATACAGGAATTGGTATTTTGTGAAATAATCAGTGGATATGAAGTTAGCAGAGTCATTCGAGATTTGGGGTATGTAAATGAGATCAAAATGTACCAGCAACCAGCATTCATTTCCTTGTGACAGGAGGAGGGGAAAAAGGACACTTTAAAATACTAACTATAAATAATAAATAGTCAAAGATGTGGCAGAGGCCAAAATATGTCATATATATAATGGTTATGACAGGACTGACAGAACAGTATGTCCCCTCACTCTGACCTTCAGGAGCCCCCCTGGTTGGCCTGTGGTAGGGGCAGGATCTTGAAGTCACAGGAGCTTATTGAAGATTCATGCCAGCAAGTGCAATGTTTGTACCTGAAACATTATACATTTAAGTGCAGTCTTTATATACAGACTGTTTTCAAGAGGTCATTATCACAGAATCACAGAGTGATTTGGGTTGGAAGGGACCTTCAAGCTCATCTAGTTCCAACCCCCTGCCATGGACAGGGACACCTTCTACTAGATCAGGTTGCTCCAAGCCCCTGCCAATCTGGCCTTGAACACTGCCAGGGATGGGGCAGTCACTGTGCAACCCGTGCCAGTGTCTCACCACCCTCATGATTATATCATTTAAAGTACTTGCAGAGGGAATCTCTGCATTTAGCAAAGCATGCCATGTTTCAGCCCCACAAGTTCCTGTGGTTGAACCTGGAGCATTTAGTCCCATTGAAATTATTCTGCAAAAGTGAGCATTTAGGTAAAAAAGCAGGCAGCGGTTAGCAACTCCGTCACTTATATGTTTAATCTTGTTCACAGAAGCTGGGTCCAGGCATCCAGATGTATTTAAGAACATACCTTCCTCCATGGTCAATAGCAGGTAGCTGCAAAGCATCCTGGCCCAGCCAACAAAATCTGGACCAGTGCACTGCAGGGATCATTTCTGGAATGCTGTTTTTGTTTCCACGCTGCCCTGTATGCCAACTTCAGAGCACAATGGTAAGCTTAATGGTTGCATCTGCCAAACTATGTAATGGCCATGACGACTGTGCCACCAGAGCGCGAATAGCATGTAGTAGTGCTCTCTCATGGATGACAGCTCGAGATAAAAATGTGAGAAATATTCAGATGACAATTCTTGTGACTTCCAGTTAGGTCTTGTGTTAAAATAGAGTGCGCAAAAACAAATGCAAAAAACTAACTTAGAACAACTATATGCGTAGCTGAAAACCACATCCTGTTTGTGGGTTCTCACGTTTCAAGAGCAGTTTATCACACATTTAGAAAACATACATTTTCATTCTAGTAATTAGCAGTCAGCGTTCTGCCATATAAAGCCCTCACACTCAAGGGGAACTCAGAGCTGCTGTCTCCTCACAACTTTAAAACTGCTCCTGGAGCTTGCATATGGAAGGGAATACCCTGTCTTGTTTCATGTGTTTGTAGGCTGTGATCTCGACAAGCTCATGAACATGTCTGGGGATGACTGTAATTTATCTTGATTTAGCAAGTCAACTACTATAAAGTGTTCAAAATAACTACTAAGTTGTCCTCCAATTTCCAAAGGGCATTTTTGGTGACACAAAAAATAGCAGAAATTCTGAAGAAATATTAACAAAACAGGTTTTTCACTAGAAATAGTGATTTTTTTACCCATGGTAAAAAGGAAAAAAAAAACCAAAAGGTTGCACTGCATACTGACTTAAACAGTGGTGTATGTCAGAACTTCATGCACATCATGGAAAAAATGTATTTCAAGCATAATTTCCATTAACTTTTATGTTACCATGTAAACTCATAGTAAAATTCACTCATATAGTACTGCCTCAACAATTCTAAATTAAAAATCTGATGTCAGGCACTAAAAACAATCTTGGACTTTGCTTTTTCTAGACTTTTCCAATGTATGTTTTCATTCTTTTATGTTTTTTTTTCTGACTTCTAAACCTGCAATGGCACACATTTTCCAAAGCTTGTTTTGCAGCCACATGGGGAGATTTTCAGATGTTTCAGAATAAAAGTCAACAGGCTTTCACATGCCCATGCCCCCAGGAACTACTGCTTTAACAAACACATCTAATAGCCTCATACTCTTTAAGACAATGTAAGTTTGTTACACAGGTCATAAAATACCTGCAAGAAGTGTCTACATAATGCTGACGTCTTGCTTAGATTAAAAAATACAAGTAGATTTGGCAAAATGTTTCTTCTTTGGTGTATGCCCAGGTATTGTAAGTCATGTAGTGTACGGAGATTAACAACAGTTTGGCTCTATAGGGTATCTTTTAGTGTCTTCTCTTGGCAAAATGCCTTCCAAGCTTAGTATCACTGAGACCGTAATATCTAGCCTTGCAGGTATGTGAAAAAATATCAACATGCCGTTACCTCCTCTGTGTTTAATGTATTTTAAGAATACTTTTTTTTCACTTAACACACACCCCCCACACCCCCCCCCAGCTACAATAATAGTACAGGAAGACAAAGCATGGAACAGTGAAAACAGGTAAGCATGTCTATTTAAATGAAATGCATGGAAGAACATCCTCACTGCATGGCCAAGTATGGTCTAGCTACCTGACTAATCTACTATATGGCAAAACTAAATATATGATGTTTTTATCCACATTTATATGTCAATTTTATAGCTTCAAATGCCCAAGTTTTACTGGAAGTTTAAATTGACCAAGCAGCCCTTGGATAAAGCCTGTATTAATTACCAGTATCAACTGTTTGGGAAATACAGGGGAGTGTAGAAGTGCTCAATTTCCCTAGGTTTCAGGGCTGTCTAGATTTTAACTGTGTGAAAGGATAAAGAAAACACCCTTCTCTGTGGTTTCAAGAAAAATCTTCATTTGAAGCTATGAAATCTTCCAGTGGTTTCCAAAACGGGAATGAATTCAGCAAGTGTTTGCATTTTCAAGGCAGGGCTTGCAGCATCTCTCACCACAAAGAACAGAAAAGACCCAGAGTTATAGAGGAAGCTTTAGTGACCTATGGATTCATTGCACCTTCCCAGGCTCATTAGTTCAGCTACCAGTTTCTGCTTGTTAAGAGGCTCTGTGGGTAGCAGCAGCAGCAGCAGTCAGTGATGCTAAAGAAGAGGTACCTGCAGAGACCATGGTTCAGGCTGCCTCTTGGGCTGGAGATGACACTATAATCTGCTTAGAGAACATTCTGGTTATTTTCATTTTATTTACATAGTCACATTATGATTTTGTTTTCACATTCAGGCCAACTTCACACCTCTCAGGCTTGCCTTTTGTACCTCAGATGAAACTGGAGAACTACCAGTTGCTTTTACTTACATCCCTTTAACCTCCATTCAGGCAGGGTCATATAGCTGTGAGGGGAAAAAGATGCCCTTCGTGTTAGCATCCCTCTGTGTATGATTTTTCATTTGCTTCTATGTTTAGCCATTTTGAGCAATAATACAAACTGAAATCTCACCTCCTGAAATACAGTGGCTTAAACACTTGAAATGCTTTTGCTGGAGGGTGCTGTTAGCACTTCTGTGCTTTTTTTTTTTTTCAACTCTGAATCCAGTATCCATTTCTTACAGTACTGCATAATACATATGAAATGTATTTTTGATGGACATACAGTCAACCAGCAAAATCTCCACAGTCAATAATGAAACCAACCACAGATCTGTAACTGTATACACACATGTATTGCTTTTGCTCTTCTACAGAACATGGAATCTAGTTGACTTAAAGTGGGGGAGCCTTTATAAGGTCCCAGTGTCGTGTAAGATTGGGCTGTGTGGGGAAGATTTGAGTGTGTCCAGAGTAACCTACACACTCTCTACAGCAGTAGTAGCTCTCCTTAGAGAATTAAAAAGTTCCAGAAGAAAATCACTGGAGTAAGGGGACTGATCAGCTTTTCCACAACTGGATCAGTTGGTAACTTGAGCAAGCTTCTGCTTTGTTGAGGGAATGAGAGATATGTTTTACCACCTCCAGATGGTGGAGGTAAAACTCCACCATTACTCTGCCACAGTAAAAGTGCCAGATCCCAGGGAATATGCTTCTGTAACAGTAAGTCTTTGTCCTTCCTTGTGCCTGTGTCAGAGACAGGAATCACAATCTTCCTGTCTTCTTTGAGCACTCCACGGAAGGCCAGCTAAGAGTTACAAAGCAGATACAACATCAACCATGTAAAAAAACCCACTATATTTATATACATGTATATGTAAAAATGACATTTCCACATACCTTCTCCATGTTTATGGCACTAGCTGGCATGGAGAAATTCAGGCTGCTCATTCTCATGGAGGGATCATTGCAAATACCCTCTACTGCAAGAACTGTGTGTTCTCCCCATGTAACAGCTTCCAGCTGACAAGATGTCACGGTTCAGGGGGCAGTGCCAAAACTTCATGTCAGTTTGTAGCATATAAAATAGCTATGCATGACATAGCCAGAAAGGAGAACACAAGTGCACCACTTAGACAAAAACCTATGTGAAAACAATAAAACAATGGACAAACCTCACTTTTTACAGTATTTTTTTTCCAACTTCCTCCCCCAGAACTGAAACCAGAGCAAACGATGTTGCCACTGGCTGCACTGTATAATCAGAACTTGTCAGTGCGCTGTCCTTTGCTCTCTGTGGCTACTGCCTTTTCTCATGCCCGAGAGAAAATGGATGATCCACCAGCCAGACTGCCAGGACAAGTCATTTGAGAAAATGGAACCATTCCTCTCACTGCCAATAGGACCTGGAGCAAATGACGCAGACCAAACTTGGATGTGACGGTAGGAGCCCAGACATCTCTAAACATCTCATTAGCCATCCCTCCATCACTGGGACCCTAACTGCAAACAAAAAATACTTCTCTGTGCTACAGTGTCCAGTTTGTAACATGGGCATAAAGACATTTCCTACCTCAGACATGTATTTTGGAGTTTAATACATTAAAGATGCAAACTGTAATGCAGGTCCCTGTGCTAGCTTCATGGAGCAAAGGCTGAGATAAAACTGACATCACTTAATTTGATATCTGTGCACAAATCTAACAAATTCTAACACACAGATGTCTCAAAAGCCTATAAACTCTCAGGAAGTGGAAAACAAGCTTTATATTTTTATATGCTTATCTCTATAATATCTGAAAATATTGCACATATCCAAACCCAGAAATAAGACTTTTAGTCTTCCTTTTCTCTCTCATTTTATACTTCCTTGATTTGCCATAGTAAATAACTCTTGGTTTGCGTACTTCGGCTTGTGTGTGTGAATGGATGTGCTGTCTGACAAAATGCCACCCAGTCAAAACCTGGTAACTTCATGCGCTGTTCTCAGGGTGAAAGGCACATGGCCAGTTTTATCTCCCACTGCACTGAACTGCAAAGTAATTCATTACCTCTCTGAAGCATTTGCTACTCACCTGTGTGAGCTCTCCTTGTCCCTGACAGTTTCAATTTTAAAGCTAAAAATTCCTCTCAGGAAAAATCTCCACAGAGATTTTACATATGAGGATAAAGACTCTAAATCAGCCTGTATTTTCAATATTTGGAGGTGTGTACAGAGGAGAACAATGGGGTGATCTTTCCTTTTCTTTTTTTTTTTTTTTGAGACCAAAGGGATTTCTGTCCTTGAAACTATTCAGAATATTTTCAGCGTGTGAGACTTCATCCCTAGGTGTAAAGAACTCATCTAATTAGTTCTCAAGGTCAGGAAAGTATGTGTCAGTGTGTCCTACTCTGTGCTGGCAAGGATAACAGGCAAGCTTGGGGTTTGCCTTATCTTTTATAGCTTGTAGTGTTTGGGGGATGGGCTCATGATTAATTGTTTCAGAATCCCCCCCGTGATATCATCGAATCATTTAGGTTTGAAATGACCTTTAATATCAGCAAGTCCAACCATAAACTGCCAAATGTCCCCTATACGCCACTTCTACTCATCTCTTAAATACCTTCAAGGACGGTGACTCCACCACTTCCCTGTGCAGCGCTGAAGAGTAATGAAGCAGGATGGTAGTATATGGTGAGAGAAGGTATGGTGGAAAACAAGTTTTCCTTTTATGCTTTAATCAGTCAACATTTGCTAACCATGTGGCTTGAAATAATGTGCAAAGCACATTCATACAACACATACAGAGATACAAATTACACACCCTAAAATGCTGGCATGTGCACCACTTTTGTCCCAAAGCCTGATCCAAAAACTTATTGCTGAGCTCAGCCTAAAAGCCTAAATCCTTTACTTCACTTTAGGATCAGTTGCTTATGTACACGTGTGAACAACCACATGCCGACCACAAGGCAAGTGATCTTGCAACTGTGTTGTTAAACTACAGACAATACATCCTGATGAGAAAAAGAATATCTTAAAGGGCTGTCATATTACACAGATCAAAGCTGGATTTCGTTCTTCTAATCTCAAAGGGAAGGCAGAAAGCTTGTTTCTTTGCCTGGCATACCGTATCTTAACTACTTCATGGACATACTGAATACTGTCTGAGAAGATGCGATATCAAATGATCACTTTTCATTTGAATACAGAGGAAAAAAAAAAGTTGCTGTCATTGGTGCAACCAATTTTTCACCAATTGGAGATATTCCCTGAAAACAAAGGCAGATTTTAACAACAAACAAATACTGTTATTAGTTAAAAAAGAAAAATGCTTGGAAAACAGGGACTCTGTTTCCCAGGAATCTTTGCCACTACACCCACTTTTTCTTTAGGAAACAAATAGTTTCTAAACCAGATATGACTGTGAAAGGTAGCTACCACACATTGACTTTATTGTGTAGTTTTCACTCTGACAGATGGTCAGTAGTTTGACAGTAACCACAGCTACTTACACTGCCCTTCTCTTAAGCTTTACCTTGGCATTGGTATAATTTTCAAGATGAAATAATGAAGTAGCAGGCTTAATTAGCTATTAAAGTATCTAGTGTAAAACTGTCAATTTTTACTTCATAAAGCTACCACCAGTCTTAGGAAATGGAATAGACCGAATTCAAATGGTTGCAATTACTATAATGAACTCATGCAGTCCCAGTAGGTTATTTATAGTGGGATACAGTTCTTAACATTTCCTTTTGCATGTCTGAAGTCTGCAAGCAAACAAATAATAGTCACAGTCCCATCTCCGCTTTGATAAAGCTGCAGGAGCAAATGAGGTCAAATTCTGCCTTAGCCAAAATGTACTTACCATGTCGAGGATGCTCTGCCTCTGTTCATATGGTTGGTGGACAGTGATCCCTGCTTTCAGTATGGAACACTTCTTGTATTTATAACCTCGATATTTTTTTAAGGATACATATTCTCAATGAAAAAACTGGAAAGAACAAAAATTAAACCCAAAGTCACTGACAATTTCTCTTGGAGAAAAAGCAACACAAAACGTCTATCAAATTATCACATCCATTATAAATGGCACAAAGAAAAGAAGTCTTACTAAGGGAACATTTTCTACACCTAATTAGAATCTCCTAGGTTTTAACTACGGAGGTCATTTGCATTAAAGGGATGACAACAAAGGGATAAGGAAATAGGTACAGTTGGGCAGAATGGGGTGCACCCTTCTAGACCCAGGATGAAAGACTCCCAGATGTCACAAGAAGCCTGCTATACCAACCCAGTGTGACCTGTTTGGTGTTTAGTGAGCTGGAACTGTCATTTGCTGAGGATTTTCCTGTGGGCTTTGCTCAGGAAGGAAAATTAGTCAAGGAAAATTAGGACATCCCAACCTGCAGAGATTCTCTGAAAGCTCAAGGAAAATAAAACCAGAAATTCTAAGGATGAAGGCTATGAACTACTGAGACAAGATTCAAAGGGAAGCATTGATTTTTATCAGTTGATGTCTCCAGAACAGAACTATGCAATTTTCCTCAGAATGGCTTTTAATCTAACACAATTTAGTGGTTAAATAAACAAAACGTTCACTTATTTCAGATGTTAGTTTATGTATGGCATCCAGTTTTTACTAAGTTTTTTTTACTAAAAAGACTCTTTTACTAGAAAGTATTTCTATTTACTTGTTACTAAATCCAAGGATATCAAAAGGCAAAATAACCCATGATGACTTTTGAGATGCATCATCTTTCCTTACTTAGCCAGCACTTAAGTGCAACTATAAACATTAGCACTGATGCACAGCCTCACACTGCATCCCTAACCAGAAAAATGATCATTAAACTATCCAGATATCTGTAGACATGTGATTGACAAACACATTTCACCAGCTGAAGCACCCAGATGTCTTTGAAATCCAGGTTAAGAATAGGAAGTTGACTTTTCAAAACTGCTGACTAAGAGTGAATGGCAGCATCTTACTCTAAAGCTCTTATCCTTTCTGATAAAGAGATGAGACTCCATTTAGGGCAGGGAATCAGAGGTTTTGGTTTTGTTTTTTTTTCCTCTTAACAGTCTTAAAACTGTTGAAACGATCATTTTCACCTTCTTGTGCTTTATTTTATCTGGCAGTGCAGCAGCAAGAAGCCAGGCAATCAGCAAATTACTTTTCTTTTTACATGCTACTTTTTAAATTGTGAGTTCCCTAGGATCTCATGGTATTAAAAAAGCAGAGAGGAAAGAGACTCACACGTGACAGAGATCTTTACTGATGGTGACAAGTTTATCTTGTACATAAAAGTGGTTTGCAGGTTCTCAGTTACCGGGAAGAGCTCAGATCAGCATTTGGTGTCTGAAATCCCAACAGACACACACTGTTAGATTTGGGTATTAGGGAGAACGACACTAATCTCCAACAATGAGTACTGCTTTTAGGGTGACACCGAATTCAGTTGAAAGGCTTGATCCAGCAGTCTGTGGACCCTTTCTGCCTCATGCACCCAAGACCTCTGTAGCCAACTGATAGTGAGAAATGTAATGTACACAGTTTTCAACCACAGGTATATTGGCCTGTTTATGGATATGTTAGTCTTACAAACACAGCCTCTTTAACTGAAGGGGTGGATCATAAAGAGTTGCATCCACAGATGGCAGGCAGCCTGGGAACTGTCAAAGGGACTCGGAAGAAAGAGTCTGTGGTGATGAGTGTAGTGTGAAAACCTAAATGGAGGAGGAAAAACAAAATTAAAAAGTATAAAGGATGAATGAAGCCCTAGCTAGAATGTGTATAGAAAAGCAATTGCTGAAATGTCTATTGAAGAAATTATTCCTCACAGGGAAGATTTCTAACAGTACAGGCTAACATAACACCTGTAACCTTATCCCAAGGCACACAGAAGAAATTAGCATTTTTCTTTGTCTTAAAATGTTCCCAGATTTTCTTGTAGCAAGAATTACTATCACCACCAAAAATCACTTCCTAAATGGCATAATACATAGACTCTTTTGAAAACTACTGATGGTAGGAGTCTGTCATTCATGCCTACATACTTATCTATAGTGAAAGAACATACATTATCATCTTTCAAGAGTTGAAACGTTCACTTGTTTACCATATGCAATGCAATTCCTGACTAAATATAAGAAATTCAAAATTTGCAATGTACTCCATCATTAAGGTAGTGATATGCAATTTTACTACAGTTGGGACTTCTAAATAAGGTATAAACCACAGGTTTAAGCCCCAAATTTCAAGAGGATTAAACATAATTTAAGTCTAAGACTCTGCATGTGAATTTTAGTGTAAAGAATAATATCTATCATCTACTATAAATTTGGAAACAATGTTGTTAACTTTGGTCAAATAACTACCTTCTATTTTTTCATTTAATCCTGTGTTAGCTTATAAATACTTGTTATCTGTGAGTTGCACTGCTGCACATCCCATGTAAGTATTATTTTAATCATACTAAAATAACAATGTCTATTTTTCCTGAAATTAAACATACACACTTTGATGATTTCTGAGCAGGGCACTTACCTAACAAACAAAATCACAAAATCCAAGCAGAGCTTTATAATCCCATGTTTGGAGATACAGCGGAAGCAAAGTAAACTGCAAATAAGGCCTAACAATCTGTTTTCCAATGCACTCATTTCTTACATCTCAGATGATCCAGGACACTGGCTTCTCACTCTCTTCTCACTCCTAACGATTTTAAAAATGCATAAGTAGATGAAAACACTTCATAGTGTTAATTGCAGTTTATTAATGTACTCATTCCCTAAGTCACATAATAAACTGAAGAAAGAGGTTTTTTTACATGCTATCTGCAAAGATCATATTGTTGCTGTTGGGCAACTGGATAATATATTTCTACAGCGTGAATTCTAGCCACTGGCAATACCAAGCCTTAACCTGAATCTTTGTAAAACTGTAATTCCTTGTAAAACCAGTACGATTTTCTGCATATAAAAACTTGCATAACAGCACACTGTGCCTTTACTTACCTCTTCTTGAGTGATCCACATCTGTGACAAGAATTTTTGCCTTGAATTTAATCTCTGTTGTCGGAGGAGCAGCTTTAAGCAACCCTAAGGACACTTAAATTGGCACTCTGCAGTGAGGCTCTCCATGGCACAAGGGCAGCGCGTGGCAGCTTCCTCACCACCATCCAGCCGAGCTCTTGGGGTGTGTGTAAAGGAGAAACAGTGTCATGACCGGTTACAAATTATGGTTTACAAATTATGGATTACAAGGACCTTAAACAGCCCACATGATATGTAACTGCCTTCAGGCTCTTTCTACTTATTCTAGGGATCAAAGGAGCACAGTATTGCTCAAGGCTATGTTTTAGATGGTATTTAGATACTGTAAGATTCAAGTGGTGCTTGGTGAGGTTGGTAAGAGTGTGTAAGCATCTGAAGTCCATTAGCCTCATGTTTTAATCTGTGAACCTACGCACTTCCGTAAGTTCACCCTATAAAGCTATTTGTGTTTGAGGGTGTAAGTGGGTGTACTCATGTACCTACTCTTCTGAAGCTATGCTCTTCATTGCTCAGCTACTGCTGAGAAACCCAGCTGTTTGTGTCTTTCAAACAAGTAAAATGGTGAGCAACTATGTAAAATAACACCCATTACGTTCAGCCAAACAGTCAAAAAGTTAACAAGCTGAGAAACACTTGTCAATAGAAGACTGAAATTTGTTTGTATAAGCTGGCACTTAGACATTTCTGAATCTAATGCTGAAGGCAACCATCTCGCTGAAATGCGACGTGCCGTATGACAGAAACGGTGTGACAGATGTGCAGAGGGGAATATTAACCTGCCAGTTTACCACTGGTGGCAAATTTAAGAGAAGGAAACCAGGAATGTGGAATATTTATAAAGCATTTGCTTGCTTAACTCTTTCTTCTTTTGACTGCCAGAACTAAAGCACAGTTTAAGAATTCTTTTAATGTTTCACCAAGAAAAAGTGCCAGATCTCATTGCTATGGCCCTGACCACCGAGTCCGCTGTGAGAAAAGATTAAATGAAATGAGCAGACAAAGAACACTGTACGATTTCATCTGAACTTCAGAACCCAGCAGCTCTATTTTGCAATTTCAGATCAGCACACCCAGCACTTTATTTAGTTATAAATTGCTTTTCCATGTTGTTTAAACTACACAGGGAACAAACGTACACTATTCGCCTATGTTCCAATCAAAGTCAACTTCAGTTCTTTCTTGCTCAATTGGTATTTATGTGCTGCATTTCTGCAAGCAATGCAGACTACGGTCTTGGGTATTTGATTGTATTCTGTTTCATTTGTCATATACATTACTATGCCAGTCAGGAACAATTACACAAAATGGTGCAGTAACACTTGGTGGAAACAATGCGTCTTTGAATGTAATGGTTATATTGCCAATAACATAAATTATATGCCATGTACACAACACTTGGTATTTGTAAGGCTTTGGTACCTAGGTGCCTCTATTAGGATTAATATGTTTCAAGAAAGCCAGAGCACTGCAGCAATTAATCAAGTTTCCATAATTAACGTAACCTTGATTTAAGCAAATTATCCTTAAAGCTCTCAAGAATCAATGGTTTAGATAAAACTGCTAAGTCAGTAACTCTGTGGTCTGTAACTGGATTGTTAAGAGTTGATTTATGGAATAATTTTCATACATGAGTCCTCCCCTCAATACCTTTAAAATTTCAATCTCACCAGTCCATACAACTACTTTGCAGAAGAGAGCCCTGAAAATATGAGTAATGTCTTCTCAGGGCCTTTGGGACTGCAGTCACAATAACCCTTAGAAGCATCTTCTGATGTATTCCAACAGGAGTAATACTGGGGCATACAAAACCATCCTATAGGTTGAATTAGCAAAAACATGGTCCATCTCTGGAGCCTGTTACACACGCTGAAGAGCCATAAGTGCTTAAACTTGCTAACCTTTTTAATTAAGAAAAGAGGTAAATATTTTAGGTAACTTAATTAATGATGTGAAATGACATGAACAAGGAAACCAACCATCATCACCTTTTACAGGAAGAGTAAGTGGCAAAAGGCGAAGTAGAGAACCGTGTTCATCAGATTGTCCTGCATTCGCATGATTAATCTCAAAAAAAGAAATACAAACCAGGAATGGTAAAACAAATACTACCTGCCTTGAAGAGGTCTGGTAGAAGAAGGGTCTAGGGAAACAACAGTTCAAATGCTCGCACAGAATGCAGCACAAAAAAAAAAACAAATAAAAATTAGATTGTCAGTATGATTTGATGATCTGTGCAATAAATTTGTTCAGGAATTTCCTCTACAACCTTATAAACATGTGTTTACTTTCAGAGCTAGACACTGCTAACCAAATTGTCAGGTAACAGAGGCTGGCCTGTTGTGTTACAATGGCTGGCACTACTGCTTTGTTTCACCTAAAAGGACTCACAATCATTATCAAGCAATTCATGAGTTCCAAATTCCTTACTATTCACACCCACTGAACTCCAAAGAGTAAGAACAAAACAAAACAGAATACAATAGCAAATCCTGTGAAAAGCAGGATGAAGCGTGAAGCACTTCTTTTAACAAGAACAGCAGTATTGCAATATTCATGTTTCTTTCATAGAGATGTTTACTGAGTGAAACAATAGTTTCACTCCTGGGGAGACCTGGACCTAATCCAAAGTCCATTAAAATAAATACAATGTCTCCTATTGTATCAATGGGCATTGTTTTGGGTCTTGTGTATGAAAAGTGACATTTCCTAGGAAAATAAGCAGGCCATGTATACTAGTATTATAGCTGATAATGCTCTCACAAGGGCAGGAAAATGATAAAGAAGCTAGCACAAACAGCTTATGATTGTGCTTACGCATGAGAATCAGTGATAACTGCAAAGAAGATAGGTTACCTTCCTTCCAGCCACACTAGGGTTCGTTGTTAAGCACATGGTGAAATGAGGACTGACAGAATGGATGAAAAATTTCTGAGATAGATGCCATCTATACATAGATGCTGAGACTGAAATGTGTCTGAAAAATGTTGAAAAGCTTAAATTTAAAAAAACATATTGTAAGCTTTTCAGAAGATCATCTGCTCCATGTTCTATTTCTTCTCCCTTGGCCCTAGATCTCTGCTGCATATAAATGCGAAAGCACATTTCTGATCAGATCAAATCAAACTCAGTATTTGTCTTTCCAGATGCATCTGTGCAGGTTGTTCTATCTGTCTGACATCTTTGCCAAGCAACACAGCAGACTTAAATGACCACAGTACTTCCCTCACATATGTGAGCCTGGAAAGTATGATCAGGACCTCAGAAAGAAATAGCATAGCCTGGGGTGAGTCAAAGTGGATCTCTGACCAGGTAATCTGATGGGCAAGGGTGATTTGAGGACCACTCCTTCCACAGAAGTTGTGGATGACACACATGCTCCTTAAAACCTCAAAATGTGAGGGCTGAAATTGTCAAAACTGTACTCAAAATCACAAAGTCTTCTATTGCACATAGCTGGTTTCAAGGAATTTGAAGGCCCATATGCTGGAATCTCAGGCTGGGCTTTCTTATTCTTGAGCTGGTCTCTTTCTACCGGAGTCCTTTTGAGTCTGTCAGATTACACAACATGCAGAGAAGCCGTTTTATGCATGATCTCAAAACTGAGACACTGAAGTCAGAGAACAGTTAATGAGATTTTCTGTGACATCAAATAGAAACATGAAGCAAAACTCCCAACATTTAACAGAACTCATTACTTAAACTTTATTTGGAATCTAACAGCAGCTCCTTATTGTGTCTTTCGGTTTGTATCTGAATGTAGTGTTCATGCCAAAAGAGCAAAAAGCAGATGCCTCTTGAATTCAAGTCTTAGAAATGGCTCTGCCACATTCGGTATCGTATCTAATGCTGCATAAAGCGTAAAAATAATGTATATGTATTTTGTCAGTTGATTCTAAAATGTATCTTGAAGTACTTTCCAGGAATATCCAAATACAGCATAACGAGCTTAATCCTGAAATAGGATTCACAATGACAGATCTCTAAAAGAAGCCTTGGTTCTTCAGAGAAGACGAAAAAAAAACAAAACCGCAAACCCCGCCAAACAGTAAGAAGCTTAGTTTCATGATCATAAACTGCCTCCACTCTTCTGACTGGAGTTTATCAAGGATTTAAGCTCAGCTTTGCTGTAAATGGAGTTATCAGTAAAGCAGAAAGACGCACAATAACC